TCCTAAAATTTTTTTTTATACGTCTCTTTTTTTTTTTTTTTTTAACTTTCCCCTTTTTTTTTTTTTTTTTTTTTTTTTCCCTTTTTTTTTTTTTTTTTTTTTAAAACCAAGCAGTGGGGCGGGGGGGGGGAAGACAAACAAAAAAAAAAAACAAAAAAAAAAAAAAAAAAATAAAGAGAAATGGAGAAAGTTAAATAAAATAATGAAATGAGACGTATGAAGAAACATTTTAGGACTGCCCAGAATCCAGGCAGGACATGGTCATCCCACAGACATAAGGGTACTGCAATTAGAGATGGTACTGCAGATAGACACTGAGCTATTTAGATCCTTTTTACTCCTTTTTTTTTTTTTTGCATGAGCCAGGACTGTGCAGTGCTGAGACCTGAACAGGACTATACAGCATCAACTAGAAATCTAGCTGCCTGTCCATAAGCCCATGGAAATTCTTCTCTCTTTTCATTATGCTCAAGTGAAAAATCGAGAACAGGCAGATGTTGTGACAACTTCATCAATCTGGTTCTGTTTATCTTACAATCATTTTGCAGTAGGACAGACCAAGAAAATTTTGTATTGAAAGAAAAAGAAAAAAAGACAAAGCTAAATCTATGTTTATTTTTACAGTGTAGCATAGCAAATTCAGAATAATAAAACATCTGGAGATTCATATCTGCAATGACCTAAGAGTGGGCTACATGAAAGAAGGAGAAATGGATGCTAAGCTAATTCACTGCCATCAATCACAGCAGTGCTTAAGACTAGTTGAGTGGGACAACTATTAAAAATCTAATTTACAGAAGAGATTGGAGAAACATTGCTTTTGATTACATAGATAAGAAGTAATCAATAAGAGAAACAGGGATGCTGGTTAAAGGGGAAATATCACATATTAATAATACCTTAAAACCAAAAATCATCCTACGTTGGATTTCATTCAAAGCAACCTGTTCTGGAGGAAGATGGTATGTGGGTCCCATACCTTGCCAGAAGATCATGTTGAATGGTTTTCAGGTGTAAAAGAGAATTGTCATCTTCTACAAATTTAAACAATTCTACTGTGCTCTTCTGATGGGGATGGTTCACAACAAAGAGGTACACGGTGTCATCTTAAAAAAAGAAATGGAAACAGTTGAATTCTCTGCAGCAGCTTTCACGGCTGAGCATCCCCAGTGCTGATGCAGCCTCTAGTACAGAGCACGTGCCAAGTTTGGTGCATTTGTGCCAGGGCTCTTCAGAGGCAGAGGGACAAGTATCCATGTACTGCAGGATGCATCTGCAACAAGGTCCAGATCTCCAGCTACATTACTCCCAGGCTCACTCAGGGACCTGCTGGGTAAACTACATTTGCTATTTCTATCAAGGAAGAAAGAAATCACAACCTCATCCTTGTGCCTAAGCCAATGGGTTTTGCAATCTGTGAAACAGCCCCAGTCAACTGGAAGAAGAATCTCAAAGAGCCAGTTTGGGCTCTTTGGTTTGTTTATTACATCCTGTGAGAAAGCAGAAGGAGCTCCTGTACCCTGTGTAAGGCTGCAGCCCTTCTGCCCAGCCCTTCTGGTAAGATCCTGAATTAGCCACCACTGATTTCTCCAACACCTTCCCTTAAAGGGTAACTTGTATGGAGACACAGGTCAAGCTGCAGCAATGGTTCTCTTAATATCTGCAGACTTCTAATTGCCCTGCTAAAATCCCCAGTGAAAGGACAGGCAAAAAGATACTTTATTGGTAGTCAGAACCTGACACAGGAGAACATATCTTGGAGAGGAGAACCTGGCTTGGCCGAAGAGTAACAGAGGTTTTGGTAATTTACGGAGACTTGATAATTTATTGTTTTGCCACAAAAGTTTCCACTCTGGGCACTACCAGTTGGTGAAGGATGTATCTCCTCAAAATACCTGAACCCAGTGTGAGACAGGTGTAAACCGGCAAAATAAATTTTCTGTGGTTTTCAACTCAAACTTTTTCATGTTTCCTTTCCTTTTAATATACAGGACATCTTTCTGTTTTAGACAGATTGAGATTATGTGCAAGGTTGTTTCCTTTGATAGATGACATTTAGAAAATAGCCCAACAAAGACAAAAACCCCCCAAACCCTTTTGTCTCCTTGCAAGAGCAAGCTATTGTGGATGCTGCACAGGGATTTCTGTTTGTGCTCTTTAGGACAATATTTGCCACCACCTCAAGCTGTTTACCTCTGTCTACATAGGTGCTGATTCCATGAGGGTTAAATGATGACAGATCAAACCCTCGGCTGATTCTCAGTTCCACTGCCCTGGGATAGTCTTCATTCAAATCCATCAAAAACATTTCACCTGGCTTGTCTGGAGCAAAGCTCTTTAATCCTGGATATTTCAAACCCTATAGAATCAAAACATAAGAAAATTATTCCTGGATAAAAAGTAAACAGGAGCATCACAGAGCTGAAAATGCTGGAGTCTTGCTCTGACTTGCAAGAATACATCAGGATGTCCCCCTGCTTCAGCCTGCTGAGCCACAATGGAGGTGGAGGGACTGGCCCTGCTCTCTCTATCCAGCCCTCAGTCACAGTGCAAAGGGAGCAAACTGTATGGAGGGTGCAAGGAGCCACGCCCAAGGCACCACAGCCCCCACTGCAGCCACACTCCGTGTGCCAAACCCCTTTACAAACTGACACTGGGGGGAACCAGGCACCACTACAACATGGTAAAGCCATGAGGAACAGCAGCAGCGCAACAGATCATGATTTCTTGTATGCATTTTGCAACATTATCATTCCCTGGGTGTCCCTGGAACACGTAGATGAAAACAGCAGCTTTTGTTTTAGAAAATGATCACCTGCCATCCTGATTGGAAAAGAAAGCTGGAAAACCTATGTCCTAAAAGCTAAAAAAAAGTCAGGAACAACATAATCAACAAACAAAATCTGATTTTTTTTTTTAATTTTGAAATTCAGACATCTTCTTAACATGGCAGAGGATTGACATTTCAACATTTCAGTGAAGCAGCATGAAAGAAAGTCAAGGTTACGTGGGCAGATAAGTCAGTGCAATATACATGCTTCAGAGCCACCAACACCATCTCTGCATCAAGTGCACTTGCTCAAGCAGAAGGGAATGACAGATAAGCCAACACAAGACTGGGCTGTTCTTAGGGAGCCAGCCAGCCTTGTAGAAAAAAATTCTCCCTCCTGATATTTTCACCTATGGCTTCTGCAGGTAAGGAAGAAAGCAGGCCCCTGCATGGGAAGGTGCCACGGGCACTTACAGAGCTGATGAAAGCTAGTCCATTGGGAAGTATGTCGATGTCTTCGGAACCAGCTTCTGAAAACAAAGATAAACAGGGTTTTTCAGGTGACATTAGATATTTCCCATTGAAAAAAAATCCTCTTTAGTACAATTCCAGCTCTCATGAATGCCCCTTTCTGGCATGACTGAGCACGCAATGAAGTTCAGAGGAAAAGATCATTCTGCGTTAAAATTGGTAGCAGAAGATAGCATGTCAGGTCAGGAAATAGTACTGCAGCTCACTTCGTTTTGGGGGCTTAGGGGTGCCCCTGCAGTGGCCAGGCAGCCTCTCACCCAGCTCCATGTGCCCCCGGACAGCATGGGATGAATCACCAGGTTCTGACAACGATGTTCTGCAGCAATTAGTGTGGGCAACAAGATTTCCAGGGCAGGACCATCCCCATGACTCGGGCCTCAGGCTTGCATAAGGCAGCTCTGAGAACTGTGCACGCTAATTCTCCTGGTTGAGCTAGGACACTTCACGAAGATGGATTGCTAAATATTTAGTTAAAGCTCTCAAGTGTCAGAGAACCTACTATATCCATACAGCTAAGGGCTTTAATAGCTAGACCATACTTTTCACTGCAGGTAATCATTTCCAATATTACCAATTCCTGTATATCCTGTAATATTTTTCCTTGGTAGGAAAGAAGATAAAACAAAAGCCCTTTAGTGGAGAGGAACCAGAACCCCCAGTTCATCCCTCCAGGAAAGTTTCTCCCCAGCTCAGACCTGGGAAGATGCAGCGGCACAACTTCTCACTGAGGGCCAGGGTCAGCATCTTCTCAGCCTCAGGAAACCCCTGCTCCACTCCATGACTCCAACAAGCAGAGCATCCCTGCCTTCTGAAGAGCAAAACATCTGAAGATTCATTCTGGGGAGAGACAGCCTGTTATCCCACCCCTGGGTTTTTGTCTGAGTTTTCACTGGGCTCAGGCAGGAAGCAAACATCTGCACTGATGTGTCCAGAGACACAGTGTCCTCTGCCAGGGGAGGTTTAGGTTAGATATTAGGAAGAAATTCTTTACAGACAGGGTGATGGGCGGCCCAGGGAAGTGGAGGATTCTCCGTCCCTGGGGGTTTTTAAGGTGAGACTGGATGTGGCACTTAGTGCCATCGTCTAGTAACCATGGCGGTAGTGGATCAAGGGTTGCACTTGATGATCTTGGAGGTCTTTTCCAACCCATCTGATTCTATGATTCCATGATTTAGAGCCTGTATTTTCTAATTAAAGTTTTGAATTGGGGCTTTTTTTTTTATCTTAGCTTACAGTCTCATTTAAACCAGCAACTCCTTTTCTTTGCCTTAGTCTTTCCACGTCTGGGTTAATTTATAAAATGGGGTTAGTGGCGATTCTCCACTTCCTGGGATTGCTGGGAGGATAAAAGCACAAATAAATGCTGAGAGGCTCAATTGCCATGGTGACATGAGCTAGACAGACTGCTTTTGCTGGCAGCACACACTTGTGAGTGAATAAACAGAGATAAAATCATTTATCGCTACTGAATCAGTGAGGCTGCCAAGCAGAAAGATGAGCAGGCTAATTGGGAGCAGATAATTAAAAACTACAAGTTTCCAGTGGAAGGAGAGTGCTCAGAGCCCCACACCCAATTGCTTGGGAAGAAAGTGCCCAGCAAAGCACTTTTCAGGCACTTCATGGCCAGGTCCTGGTATGTGTGGAAGCGACTGAGTGCCATCAGAAGAGCAGTGAAATGCTGATTCAGCGCAACCCTGCTGAGCCAGCACCAGGGAGACAGTGAGGAGGGGATGGGGACACAGCCGGCCGCAGGGAAGCTCACAGGCTCTCCTGTGGGCCCCATTTTGGGAGGGCTGTTGCAGGTGTTATATGGCATAAGAGAGATAGGAACTGCTTTATTAGGTATCAGTTACCTGCAGGATATTGCTTAATTGTATCACTGAGCCCAGCTTGTCCATTCGGTTATCTAAACAGGCAGCATTTAAAAAAAATTAACAAATATTGAGAAAAATTACTACCTACTCTAGAAATGTTGTTCTTTATTTTATCTTAGATTGATGTATTCTGCAGGTGTATCTAACAATAAAACCCCCATCTGGATTTCATGTCCAAAAGCACGAGACTATTTTGCCTACATCCCAGGAACTGTTCCAGGATGAAAGTATTTCTGGCAGCTTCTTCTGTAGCTTCTTGAACTTTAGGAATTAGAACAGGAGATATGGTTACTTTATTGCAAACCAGTAACATGATTAGGCACCAATAAAAATCAGAAGCTACTGTTTATTCTAGAAATATAGCCTTTCCTACAGGAAATTGGTGTATTGGTGAATGGTGTATTGGTGTATTGGTGAATGAAGTTTTTTTGCAATTTTTTATTGGCTTGTTCAATGTTTGCATTTGTGCTTGCATAGCACAGTATCTGAAAAGCAGAATAGATCAAAGTCTTAAAAATAGAGATACAAAAATATGAAATTGCAGAAAGAAAAGGGGATAGTTTAAGATAATTTTGCTCATAGCTGATCCAGCCCTGGGACCTATGTCTCACTTAGGAGTTCAGAAGGACTGTTTTAAACATTAAAATAAAGACATAATGTTTATTCAACTTTATCATAGCACTTTAATGGAAAAAGGCCCAGGAGGCCAAGAGGTCCGTGGAGAAAGGCATTCTTACACAAAGGCACCCACAGGAGCAATCTTACAGATCTGAGTACAGCAAACCCTCTGTCTGAATAGTGCTACCTATGCAGCAACTAGGCTTTAGGGATCCTTGATCTCCCTGAATAATATAACCTCCCTAGTCATACCAAACGAGTTTTGGAAGATATTTGAGTGAACATGCCAACTTTTAAGTTTGCACAAATCCTTTGTTATTTCTCTTTCTGCCACATTGGACATGCTGAATTAATTTTTGGCATATTAATTTTTCTAAAGAGCTGTAAACAACAGAGCAAAGGCAAGGCAAGGTGCAGAGCTCAGTGTGCAGGGACAGTGTTAGAGGAGCACAGCAAGAAGCAGAAATGAAGCTCTGTAAATTGATCCACTGCAACCTCCAAGCAGAGACGGGTTCTCAGAATTCACCTAATCTCCACGTAAATGTCAGGCACCGAAAACGAAATGCTGTTAGGAAATGAAATACAACTTTATTTTTCATTTCCAGCTTTATTCTTTCCTCAACACAATAATCATGTTGCAAAAAAGTCTTAAAAAGATTGCAACAGTGAAATGCTTAAAAGAATTATATTAATCACCATCAAAAAAGCATTATTCAGAATCTTGTATGAGTAAATTACAGCTCAATCTAGAAGACCTGGAATATTTTTCAAATGCAATTCTGTACATAACCTCAGGCAAATGAACTCAGCATATACTCATTCGTGGCAGTAATTTGACTTTACAAAGATGCTTGAATCCTGACACAAGGAAGAAGCAAGATTTATGAAATCAACTCACTGACTCAGCAAGCTCAAAGGCAAGGCTGTTAAAGCTCATCCAATGATGTTTTTACATATGCAAAATCCAGGCAAATTTCAAAAGAATTTAAGACATTTCTGAAAATACTAAGGAGGGGAAAATCCCCAGCCATTAAGCTTAAAATTATTATTTGGGGAAAGGGAGACACAAAAAAGCAATCAATTTCAAAGCTATCCATTTTATACACTGGTTATCCTAATCAGAGAGAAAAAAAAAACAAGACAGAAACACTGGTGTGTGCTAAACACATGATCCAAAGTACAAAGTCAACATTTTGTCCACTTTGTTAGCAAACATAACCCCTTGCTCTTTGAAACCACATAGCTGCATTGCACAACCATGCCAGGCTCCTGCCTGCCATTGGCACCACGCGGTACCAGCCAGCTCCTAAATCTCCACAAAATGCGGCACTAAGGCGGGCAATCCTGGCTGGCATTTAGCAGCCACTCCTTCACCATATGCCTGTGGTCTTCTCCAAAAGCTTGCACCCTTGCAGCGTGTTCTGTCTTCAAGATGTCACCACCGTCTGACAGACACCTGTAGGTACCTGCCTGAAGAGCCAACATGCCCTCATCTAAAAGCCAGATCATTTCCTAAGTGGCTCAGCAAGCAGAAGTGTTTGCAAGGTACTCAATTTCAAGAAAAGGAACAGAAACTTTAAATACCGAAGGCAAAAAGCATTATATCAAACTAGTTTTTCAGCACAATTTTCTTCCTGCAGTTTCTCCCTACCTCCAAGTCCGAGTAACAAATGAAAGTCAAATGAGCACTTTGTTTTTTGGGATCAGGCTTGGAAGCTGACTTTAAGAAGCAGTTACAAAATAAGGCTGGACAAAAGCAAGGCACTCAGTTATTTTAAGCACATACCGATTCCTTTAATGAGCCGGCAGTTCGGGAGTGTTACTGGGGCTACTTCCCGTGAAGCATTGAGTGTGTTCCTGCAAGAGAAAAGAGCAGGGTTAACAGCACACAGCCAGTTTTAAAACAGGTAACATTCCTAGTTTTCAGTTTTATTGTCTGCCCCATCGCAGCAACAAATCAGCCATAAGATACTGAATAGACAAACCCCAGAACTGCAGCAGCAAATGCTCCAAATCACTGTGGTAGTTACATATGTCCAGGGATTAAGTGGTTGTTCCACACTGAGTAACTTTGGAAACTTGATTTTGTTCATGAACGTCAGGAACAAGCTTTCATGGCCCACCCCAGCTCAGACAATAAAATAAGACAGCCAAATTTTCTTCAGGTTTCAGTCACTTAACTGTAGTAGTATCCCACAGTTAGGACCAGCATTTCAGATGAGGAGAGGACGACCTACCCCAACCCAATGGCTGTATTTGCTGATCATGCCACCAGCAGTTGCACCTTCCTCATTTCTTACTCCACATTCAAAGGTAGTGATAGCACTGTTGTGAGGCAGGAGTACTCATTTCCTTACAACAAGCAGGACTTGGTAGTACAATTTTCAGCATCTTCTTCTCTCCTGATACCACTCCAAGCATCATTCTTCAGCAGTGCTTATTTCATTCACAAGTACCCACAAAACTCAGACTCTGGCTCATGCTTCACTGAACAAGCAGATACAGACAGGTACCTACACGAGTTCCTATTTCTCAATTTCCTCCATTCCAAGTTGTTTGCAAATCCTTATGAAAGACACCTCACTACCAGGATTGCTGTGTTTGACCATGCTGGTCCGCAATGCCCTAAGAAAATATATTCTATTTCTACATGAAAATGTCAGGGTAGAGTACTAGAATATTTCTTCCTTTTTTTTTTTTTTGCCCCCAGAAGAAAGCATTTAACCTAACATAGTTACTCCTTTGCATGTCTATCCTATGCATGTGTTGAGGCTATTGCTCCAACCACAGGAAATTCTGAACGCAAAGATCCCATAGCAAAACCTTGCCATGTTTATGTCATAGTTTTAGGCATAAACATAAACTAAACAGCAGTATCAGTCAGTGATATGAAAAGTATGTGCTACAGCTGAGCGTCGTATGGTATGTCAGTCCTGCCTGGTTTTAATCACTTAAAATAAGAATTGCGAATTGCTTCAATGCTGTATCATTCACATAGGTTGTTAATATAAGGCCAAAAAAAAGGTGAAAAAGGGTAAAAAGTGCAGAGGACAGCAAGGGAAAGGAACCAAGTTAAACCCTCCCAAGCCCTTTCTCTCCAGCCCAGGAGTACTGACAGAGAATTACACTGGCTCTCACCTGACAAACAGCACGGGAGGAGTATCAGCTCCCCTGTTGCCCACTGGCAACTTGGCACAGCCAAATCCACCAAGCACCCAAGGGTGGCTCAAGGCAATCCTGCCTGAAGTTTGCACTGCTGCCTGCTTAAGGCTTTTCCCTTCCCTGTTTTCATCAGCTTTTCCCAGGCAGGCTGCAAGCCACCCTGAGCCAAAGCACAGCAGGAACTCAGCTAGCAGCCAGAGAGGGATGATGATATCCCGACAGCATTCCCAGGGAAACACTTCATGGGCTGGAATGAGAGTAATTCAAAAGGACACTAGTCACAAGGCTGCAGCACATATAGAGGCTTTTGCAAAATGTGTCAGTTTATCTACCTCGCACAGCCTCAGCCACTCAGCCAGATGGCCTAGATAACTAACTGGCCGTACCAAGAACACAGGAGGCCTGCAATATATGGAGGATGCAACTTCAAAAAAAAGAAGGAACTTTTGCTACTTGGTGCAACCCCAATGCACGGCACCTTGTCCCACTGTTTCTCTTTCCAGTTTCAGTCCTATGCCCACTGTCCCACTTCATGGGACACAGAGGATAGGCCTTTCCTTCAGCAGGAACCCGTTGCATATTCAAAGACCTCTCTTTCAGTTTTCCTCATCTCTAGACTTACCAACCCTGGATTTTGGGGTTTTGGTTTTGAGGGGGTTTTTTGACAGGATTGAAAATCACTTCTTATTTTGGTTTTGCTCCCAATTCTTTTAAAACTGTCAGCATCTTTCTGGAAGTAGGCTGCTGTTTTGAACATAGTATGCAAGTTCAGTGCCCTATGGGTACAGTGTTACAAAATGATAACATTGTGTGTGAATATATAAATACATATGAACAATATCATATGCATATTGTTCTGAGGAAAGCAGTAACGCACATTTTATAATTATATAATTCACATTCACATTTTACAAATTAGCTCAGCGCTTTCTTCAGAGAATGAGCAGTTTAAAATGTCAATAGGGGAACTGGTGTCATTTCAGCTGGTAACACAGAACTTCACCTGTTTTCTGCTGTACGTGCCACAAAATACCAAACTCAGAAGGAACTGCAAAGACTCTTTGCTGGATTTCTGCCTTCTGGGTGGGGAATGGATAACTGAGACACATAGCAAGAGCTAATTACCCACAGTTTCTCTTAATTGTGTTAAATGACTTTTAGAGTACTTTGTGAACTGAAGCTGTGTGTTTCCAAACTCAGCAATCATCCTAAGACCTCTGCTACGCTGGAGTTTGCTGAAAACACAGCACGCAGGAAAAACCCACAGAGAGCCAAAGAGACAGGGGGGATCCCGTTTTTATCAGGAGATTATTCTTTACCAGATTTCCAATATTGCATTTGTTCATTCAGTTTGGAGGAGATGTGGGGACCGTTGCTCTCTACAGCCCTTCGAAATGTCTCACCCCAGTAAAGTCAGGGAATGTTTTCCAGCTCTGCCATCCCAGCTTGTGTGACTCCAGGGCAGGAGGGTTCTTCTACCGCTGTGGTTATCACTAATGCCTGAGGTGGATTTAGCGCAAGATGAAAGCACATCTATGTGAGGTACCTGGGTCCAGGTAGTATAGCCCCCCTTCTGTAATTACCTACAATTACCCAAAATTCAATTAGCTGGGTGTTGTTGCTTTGAAATCGAGCATTTGGAGTCCTTGTGGACATGAGTAAAATTATAATGATGTAGTTGCCTTTTAACACAGTAATTCACCACCACTTTTCTGACCTGAAATGACCAGTTATGTGTTTGCTTGCTTTCAGGACAGAAACTGCTGTAACACCATGGTACGAGGATCATGATATGGCTGGGTATTTCAGCTACAGCGAGGTCACATATTAGGATCACCAAAGCCTGTGCTCCGTCAGAGGAAACCTCATGTACACAGGGGCTATTGTTATCCAGAGGTCAGCTTTGGTAGAAAGTAACACACGTATCTGACAAACTGATTTCCGCTTACTGTTCGGCCAGTTGGTGGGAGATGAGGTAAATTCGCAGATATTGGGTTTTGATATACCCCGGTTAACTGCAGCCTCTGTAAAAACAGAGGTACTGGCCCCCTGCCCCAGGGCACCCTCTCCCTTTGGCCTCCTGGCTCCCAGCATCTTCCCAGGGAGAGTTTCACATTCTCCCACTGCAAAGGGCATTTCCATTGCACAAATGCTCCCGAAGTTAGTTTTTGAAGAAAGAGGATGAAAAAGGCATCGCAGTGCCTAGTTTTTCTCCGGGGAAAAACGGTTCCCTTGATAATGATGATGATAGCGATGGTGATGATAATGAAGAACCCTTCCCCTCTGGCTGCCACTGCACTTGTACAAGTGCGGGTGTCCGCCGAAGTCGAGCCCCAGCCCGGGAGCTGCGGTGCCCGTCAGCTCGAAGGGCGGAGGGGAGCCCTCGCCGCCCCGCGCCCGCCTCAGCCCCGCGGCAGGACCCGGCTGCCGCCCCCCACCCGCGGGCCACCCCCGTCCCACACCGCCGGCACCGCGACCCGCCGCTCCGAAACCCCGCAGGGCGGCTCCTACCGAAAGGCCAGCAGCCGCTCCGCCACCAGGGCTGCCGCTATCCCGACAAGAGCCACCACCAGCAGCTTCCCCATGGCCGATCCCCGCTCCCGACTCTGCCCCGTCCCGACCCGTCCCGCCCCGCCGCGCCTGCCCGGGCCGCCCCCGGGGCCCGGCGCCGCGCTCCCGCCGGCAGCGCCCTCCCATCCATTGCCTTCTCGCTCCGCCCGGCCGTGCCCCGCACCCGCGGCACCGTCCGCCCACCTCACGGCCGGCGAGCGCTAGGGACGCGGGAGCCGGACAGTGGCCCTCTGGAGGCTGCATGCTACAGCTCCCATGGGAAAGGCAGGTGGACCAAGTTCCAGCTCTGTTATTTAAAAAAACAACAACAAAAAAAAAAGTGTTGTACAAAAATAAGTGTGTCTGACCAAGACTATGTGATGCAGAATGTACAAGTACTCCGTGTACACCTCTAGGCTGAGATGTACATGCTAATACATGTGCACTAACAGCAAAGTTTCCCCCCAGAATGATGCTTCTTCCACTGCCATGCTCCCACCAAGTTTTCTCCTGTGTGCAGGACAAGGGCTACAGAATCCACCTTGGGGCTCCAGGGTTCCTCCATGCAGCAATCTGCTTTTGCATCATCTGCAGCACTGGCCTCCTTGGCCTTTTGCTTTTTTGGGGAACACACGTTAGCGGGTTAATGCCCTCCCTTAGCAGTTATCTTTCCCTTCCCTGCACAGCGAATGCCCCCACCTGCAAGGTTCACATTCCTTTGCGCTTCCCTGAAAGTCTGAGCAATCACTAAAAAGGTCTTCTCTGCTCTTCTTACCCTTGCCCTTGAGGCCAAGCAGATGCTCCACATTTAACAACACTTAAAGTAAAGCGTACTGGAGAAGAGGAGGCACCCTGAAATATCTTTTCCTCTCCATTTTGCCATGGCCCTTTTCCTTTTTTGGGTCCTTGATTACTTTGGAATTATAGGTAGATGAGATTTTTTTTTGGAGGAATGAATGGGGTTGCTGTGACCAAAGTGCAGGCCCCAGCACTTGTCCCATGTTGAACCTCATACCACTGGCTTCAGGCCATCAGTCCAGCCTGTCCAGATCCCTCCACAGAGCCTTTCTACCCTCCAACAGATCAACACTTCTGCCCAACTTGGTGTCATCTGCAAACTGACTGAGAGTGCACTCAATCCCCTCTTCCAGATCATTGATAAAGGTATTAAACAGTACTGGCCCCAATACTGAGCCCTGGGGAACACCGCTAGTGAATGGTCACCACCTGGATTTAACTCCATATACCACCGCTCTCTGGGACTGGCCATCCAGTCAGTTTTTTACCCAGCAAACAGTGCACCCATCCAAGCCATGAGCACTTTCTCCAGGAGAATTCTATGGGAAATGATGTCAATAGCCTTAGGTAGACACATCCACAGTCTTTCCCTCAACCACCAGGTGGGTCACCCTGTAATAGGAGGAGGCCAGGTTGGTCAAGCAGGACCTGCCTTTCACAAACCTATGCTGGCTGTGCCTGATCCCCTGATTGTCCAGCACATGCTGCATGACGGCACTCAAGACGATCTGCTCCATGACCTTCCCTGCCACTGAGGTCAGGCTGACAGGACTGTTTATAGTCATGCATTGCAGAACTCCAATTGTATGAGTCTTTCCACCCTATTTCCATGACAGCAACTATCCCACAGATTTTTCTGCTGCTTAATGGCTTCCTGCCCCTCCTGTTTGTTGCCCATGCTACATGCATTGGTGTAGATGCACTTCATTTGGGCTATTGATCCTGCCACTTTTTTTGGGGTAGGAACCCTAAGACGTGCATGACCATTTTCACGTGCTTCTGTGATTTCTAACACACAGTAACCCCTACGTCTTTGCTGCTGGATGGATCTCCATCCATCTCCATCCCCCTGCCACTGAGGCAGCAGACTGAAGGAACTTGCTAGCATACCACCCATCAAACATTGATTTACTACCTCCAGGCTTATCTCTAATTATTAATAATGGTTTTATCCCTTTCCCCCTTCAAATCTAGTTTAAGGCTCTTCCAATGAGCCCTTCTAACTCCTGTGCAGAGATCCTTTCCCCCTTTGAGACAGATGTACCCTGTCTGTCACCAACAGGCCTGATGTCGTCTAGATTGACCTATCATCAAAAATCCTAGATTCTGCTGTTTTACACAAGACTGGTTCTATATCTCAGGTTTCACAGCACCACTTTATTAGCATAGTATTTTTCATTTATTTATTTACACCACAGTTTCATGTGCAAGAGCATATACTGCTTACTGCCTGGTACTCAATTTTTGCACAAGGTGAGTGCAACTCATTTGATAAACTGTTAGTGTCTGGAGGGGAGATGTAGACAGCAGAGATGGTATAAGATTGCAAGAGTGGCCATACTGTGTAAAATGAAATGTTCATCTTACTGAAGATTCAACAAATGGAGTAGGCACGGGCTTACGAAGAGTAAGGAAATGGGGGGCAAGTTGGATAAATCACCAAAGATTCTTTCTCAGCTTCTAAATCTTTTCAGCTCAGTATGATGAGGTTTACCTTTTTAGTAACTCCTAATTGATCTATGATTCAAGTACTTTAATACCTTTCCTTGAAGTGAGTTGTGCTTTTACCATATTTTTTGCTGATGTCAAACCAGCTAGGCACCCCCTATGGTCACGGCAGGAAAACAACTACTTTGAGGTAGCAATTCATATGAAAGGTGCCTGAAATACATCAAGAAATCTTTCCTAAGAAATGGTCAGTTCTCTGCAGTCATTGGAAAGGAGCCTACAGTGACCAATTCAAATGCAGAAATCTGCTCTGTAGATTTCTGAAGGTAGATAGAGCGAATCTCCCTTGAAGTCTCTGCTCATCAAATCACCCTTGACTAAATGAAGACCCTGGCTTTTTCAGCAGCTTACCTCCTCAGCACATCCCCAGCCAGCCTGGCATCTGCCCAATGGCACTGTTGGCATCTGCTGTGGCTTTCCCTCAACAGCATGCCCCGGCTGGCCAAGTGGCTGCAGCAATGCTGGAAAACCCATGAATGCTCTTTGGTTCCAAATCTCTCTGAGGTCTTTGCTTTGGAGCACTCAGGAGACACTTGGAGTGACCTCTTGCCACATAGCAAAAGACTAAAAGCAGGAATGAATTGTGTGCATGTAATCAGCTGGAGAGGGATAATGTAACAAGCCTGGGAGTGGAGGAAGTAAGCAGAGCAAGAGATAAGAGAAGTCTTATGCTAATTTAGTCATTTAGACTCCTCTGCAGTCAAGAAAGGAAAAGAAGCCCTCTGTAAACATGTCCAAGCGTGGATTTATTCCATCTGGGAAAGCATGCATGAAGTAGAACAAGTAGTACTCTGTAGATGCCCAGCCTCCCTCCTTCCTTCTCTCTCCCAGTTCATAATAGATGGAAATGAGACAACTTGCTGAGAAAATAAAGGGTTGTATTTGAAAGTAAAGGGAAATTCTTCTACTAAAAACTTTGGAATTCTTAAATCTTTCATTTGTAAAAAGTATGTGCTTCCCTATCACATATCAGGATCTTTTTAAACAGATAAGATACAGAAGCTTATGTACACATGGATTTGGATTTTACAACAAACTATTTCAAAATGCATCATTCTTCAGTCATTAATGAAGGACAATGTGTTTTACCAAACAAACTTTAAAAAAGCTGTAACTCTCTTTTTATCCAGATTTTACTCTCTCTAATAGTGATGTTAATCTGAAGTAAATCCACTGATATCTGCATTGCCAAAGTATTTACAAGGGATTTGCACTAAAGATTAAAGGTCAGAATATTGTTCTAGAGCACTTTGGGGGGCTGATCTGAGTAAGTACCGAGGCATTCAGTGCAGGCATGATTGTATTAACTGGACTGTTCAGACTATGGGGGGCATTGAGGGACCCAAGCTCTGGAGGGCATTGAGGACAAATCTGATTGAGAACTAGAGATGAGTCAGGCTGTGTTCATTGACACAAGGCTCCTTTACAACTACTGAATAAAATTCAGAAGAGGACATGTGGGCATGAAGACAAGGCAGATGTTGCTATAGTTTAACTGTAAAAACAAGCAGAAATGTCAACACAGTGTGAAAAGGTTCAGAGGGAGTCTAATGAGATCTTAAACTGAACTCATTGGTTTTACTGAATACAGATCTTAAGACTGGGTTAATGTAAAGGCTATGTCCATCAGATTGCTGCTGACACACAGGTGCTGAACGAGCTTCAGGTAAAAATTAAAACTGGCAGGCAAGAAAGCTGCTTTCAACAAAACCAGGCAGAAATCAGCAAAGCCTGTGGTTTGCCTACGGAAAGATGAGAGAAAAGGCTTCTAAAGCTGTAGATCATAGAAATGACAAGATTCTCTACAAATGCTGTTGCCCAAAACCACTTTAACCCTGTTAGCTGATCAATGGAAAATTGCAGATGCCTTGCTCAAATACCTCAGCAATTTCTTAAACCTTGCATTCTTCAGCTCTGCTAGAGTTAAAACCACTTCTCAGCTCCCCATTCAAAAGCAGGGAGTAGAGATTCCTACAGCCACTGAGCAGTTGCCACAGAGAAAGGCAAAGTCCCTGCTCACACCCTACCACTGCACATAATTACAGTGTCATCAACTAGTTAGAAAACTGGAGTTCACCACTATCACCTAATAAAGAGATGGTATCTTAAGGTGTTCAAGAAGACAGATGCATAGTGCCTTTTACAATGAAAAAGGTAAAAACACTCCTTCAGGGACACAAAGGAATATTGACTTTCTTAACTGCTGAGAAAAATACGTGTCACAATGACATCAGTGGATTTGTGGGTGAGGGTGTTGAAAAGGCTCTTGCAGAAACGCTCTGGCTTACAGTCTTGTCCTGCCTCAAAACAAGCCGAAGTCTCTACTGGGTCTTTGCAGAGCTATCTGAAGACTACAGAACTGCCAGCCATGAGCAGCCCAGAGGCATCTGCATAAATTTGGGTATGCAAATAAGTTTCTGAACATATTTTGGTTCTTTCATGATGGCATGAGGTAATGAAGAGGTTCTCAGTGATGACAAGATGTCAGAACATGTCACTGTCAAAAACAGCCCCAAGCAAGGCTATGTCCTAGACCAGCTCTTGTTTACTGCCTTTA